GAAGGATAAATTACAATTCCTGGATTAGGATGCATTTTTTAAAAATTAAATGCTGCATGGGCTTAAATCAATGGCTAATCCGAGAAGATAATAGCACTCCATCATAGGGATGCCCCCACTATAGACAGACCTAGTAAATGAAAAGTCAGTTTTAGGAAAACAGTAAACATATCTTTTAGAAATTAAACACTCAACCCCTTTTCATAAAGATTTCTTTATAGTATCTTGTACTCCTAGAATACTAAATTTTATTTAATAAATACACGAAAATAGTTCATACATGCATCTATTTTATCCAAGTTTATTTAGGCTTTGTTGTATGGGCTAAGGTAAGAAGTTACTGGTGCTGAGCCCTGCAATCCTGGGCTGTTCGTAGAGCCTTGTACATCAATATCCTAGTGATAAAACTGGCCCTGGATGGTGCACTCTAGATCATCCTATCCAGGTCCACTATTCTAGTAGCTGAGAGTGTACTCAAGAGATTCTCATCTACTTCAAAGACATTCCCTGTGCACACGCCATCAGTGGCACCACATAGAGTAGGTATTTGGAATATTTAGTTGACTATTTACCAGGAATTGTAAGCTTCACATTTTCCAATGAATGACTCTCACCTAAAATATTTATTAGTCCAACTGGATCACAGTAGTTTCTTCAGTCAGTATTTTTTTGTTAAAGGTTATAAAAGAGTTCAGGGGAAGTTTACCTCTATTTTTTTTCTGTCAAGTAGAAGGCAAAGTGTAGGGTTGGAGAGGAGGTGGTGGATTGAGTGTCTCAAAGAATGGTGAAGGTATGAACAGCATTTCTGGAAAATGGGAGGAACAGGTCACAACGGAATAATTGCTAGGCCACGTTAAAGGCCCATCTGAGGTTGGAGGCCATTCCTCTGTAGTAGCAATAATCTGTAGTCTTGTATACTTTTTTCTTAAGTTCTTAATAATTAAAGTGTAGGCCTAGAAAGGTTGATGGTTATATTGATCCAGCGTTTAGGTTCTGCTGAATAGATGTGAGACAAGGTCAAGGAAGTTGAGAATATTGGCAAGAGTGCCTGAAATGATGAGGCTTGTGGTCTGATAGGAAAGGAATTGGAACTAAAAAGGGGCCGTGGGACAGAAGGCGGGGGCTGTTGTGTATTTTATTTTTTATTTACAGATTTATTTCTACTAAATACAGGCCATACAGGAACTAATGAAAATCCATGGACAAGATCCTGTTTCATTTCAAGACGTCAAGGTTACTCTTTCCTTTAATTTACATAACACCAGATAATCATTTGTATTAAATGAAATTTTATATCAGAGCAGCTTATGAACAGTGAAGTACTGAACCAAATCAAGTATTTGCTGTTATTTGTTCGGAATTGATATTTAAATCATTAGAAACTGAGACTACACTTGGGCTAATTTGTGTAGTTTATGATTTTAGCATCGTCAGCTTTGTGTTCTCATTGGAAGCAGTCATTCATTTTGATTGAAAATTAAGAGAATCAATATAGCCTGCATCTTTTGGCAGCCTATTTCACTGTAAACTGAATTTTTAACTTGGGAACTGTTTAGGTTCAGGCACTTTTTTAGTCTGCTACTTCAGAGGGCTGGCTTGCTTTGGTATTATTAAGGAGACGTTAATCCTATAATATGGAAACTACCACTATTTGAAATAGATGCTGCTAGTTAGCATTTTAGTAATCAGACTTTTACCAGCTATGAAAAACATGGAGCATCCAGTATCAATTCAAGTTTAGGTTGAGTAATGTAATAAAATAACACGTCTAAGCTAACCTTAACCAAGTGTAAGATAAAGGGCTATTTTAATTTAATGTAAATGAGACCAATTCGAAACTATGCAACAGGCAACTTAAGAACTAATAATTTTAAGTTGCTACCAACCTAGAAAAGGAACTTTCACAAACATACAAGAATAAAAGTCAGGGCGAGCCCCGTGGCTTAGCGGTTAAGTGCGCACGCTCCACTACTGGCGGCCCGGGTTCGGATCCCGGGCGTGCACCAACACACTGCTTCTCCAGCCATGCTGAGGCCACGTCCCACATACAGCAACTAGAAGGATGTGCAGCTATGACATACAACTATCTACTGGGGCTTTGGGGGAAAAAAGGAGGAGGATTGGGAATAGATGTTATCACAGAGCCGGTCTTCCTCAGCAAAAAGAGGAGGATTAGCATGATGTTGGCTCAGGGCTGATCTTCCTCAAAAAAAAAAATAAATAAATAAATTTCATAAGCTTCATTTACCTGAATTTTTCTACTCTTTTAAAAATGTAATTTGCCTCCTTAAATGTTATAAAATACTCTAATTTTACTACAAAAATTTAGAAAACACATAGTAACTCCTTATAAGTATTCATATAGTATACTTCATAATATAGAAGAGGTTCTTTCATCTATTCCAGTAAATTTTAGCAGTTTATTGTCATTCTGGATGACTAATTTTTTAATACTGAACTCCCCCCAACCCACCAATCCATGGTCCAGAGTAAAATGTTGACATCAATTTTTGGAAATGAAACTTTGTCACTGTCTTAGCTCTGAAGCATTTAAGTTTTTACTTTGAGCTGTTTGCACTTAAATCAAGGCCTTGCTTTACCACCAATTAGCAGACAACAGAGGGGCCGGCCTGGTGGCGCAAGCGGTTAAGTGCTCGCGCTCCACTGCGGCGGCCCGGGTTTCCCGGTTCGAATCCTGGGCGCGCACCGATGCACCCGTTGTCAGGCCATGCTGTGGCGGTGTCTATAAAGTGGAAGAAGATGGGCACGGATGTTAGCCCAGAGCCAGTCTTCCTCAGCAAAGAGGAGGATTGGCAGATGTTAGCTCAGGGCTGATCTTCCTCACCAAAAAAAAAAAAGACAACAGAAAATTATAAGTAGTTAACATGTATTCAAAGAACTAAGTGTTAGTTTTGCCACTACTCAGCTATGTAGCTTGGATTAAACTCTGAGTCTGTTTCTTCCTCTATGAGGGATAGCTATCACATACCTAAGGAATCTTCCAATAAAATTCTGTGATTGTACATAGTGAAAAGGAGATTCCTATCTGTTAAATGGCAAAGAAAAAACTGGAACAAAGAATTTTATGTAAGCTCATGTGCCTGTGCTGAATTGTAGATCACTGTGTGATAGAAATTAAGTGAATCAGATACCAGATTTCACTGTATTTTTTTCTCTCTTGCAGGATGAAATCTTTGACATGGTAAAACCAAAGGATCCTTTGAAAATCTCTCTTCAGGATTTAATCAACAGTAATCAAGGAGACACAGTCACCACCATTCTAATCGATCTGAATGGCTTCTGGACTTATGAGAACAGAGAAGCCCTTGTTGCAAACGACAGTGAAAACTCTACAGACCTTGATGAGACATGATCTCTCAAAGACTAGACTGTATTCATTACGATAAACTTGAATCCTGCATGTAAAACCTGAGGCAGAATCCTTAGAAATGGTCTAAATAAAATAGTTCCTATGCCTATAGAACACAGCAAATGTTCTGGTTTATTGGAGTTTTTGTTGCAATAGTTTGGAAGCAATAGGACCAAATCAGGAGGTAGCGAATTCTGGTTCCACTTGGCTCACATGTGGCAAGTGTGACTTGGTGAAGGTAGGAGTCCACTTTAAATCCATATAATCTTTAGAAATAAAGGAAGTTTTCTTGGAACATTTATGACATTAGTCATTACATTTGAATACCTGAAGGACAGTTTCAGTTATAATGTGGTCATTTAACCTTGCGTCGTCTTCTCAAGTACTATGTATATCCATGATTACAGACTTCCCCATTCATTAGAGTGGAGCCATTTCATTTCTGGGTTAGAAATGTTTGAACATGATGCTGCTTTTAACAGGATGTTTCAATAAAAAGTATTCAAGTTAATATTTTACTTTAATTAAAATCATAAAAAATTTGTCTTTATTAACCAGTACCAGGGTTACATTTTACAAAACTTCATTTTGTTAAGGATTTTTGTTAGAGTATTTTTTAATTCACTGTAAAAGTTCTCAATTATACTGTTTATTTTTTATGGGATGAAAGATTAGAAGAGGGTAGAATATCATGAACTATGATCCAGAGGGAATAGTAATTATTAAAAGGGTTGAAAGGGAAGAAAAAGTGAAAGAGGCTTAAAAATAAGACAAACCATTTAATGCGTTTATGGTAAATTTTATAGTTTGCATAAATAAAAAGAATAAAAATTTAAGGCACAGTAAATAACTATATTAACATTACAAACTGGCCACTGTTGGACAAGTAGAGAAAGTAAAATTCAAGAAACGTAAAACCTTCATAAGTCATTATCTTCCTGCTACTACAATCACAGAAGCTTCTAGGTAAACTCTTAGATCTAGTGCTTCTAGGAAGAGATGCCTTCACTAGATAACTAAATAAATATCTGTCTTGGAAGTACTATCTCAAACAAAGTTAAAATGTCAGGTTAGCATGTTTTAGAACTATTGGTAAACTATAATTTATGGTGACATTAATTAAATCTGAAGATTAATGCTTTAAGCACTAAATTATATAGAGTTTACACCCATGACTAATTACCATCACATGCCATGAACCACCATACCATGAATCCATGTAACTAAGATTCCTAATGAGGAAACTTATCTTTCCTAATCCTTCAAATTGAATTTAGTGGCCAGATGTTCATGTTCATTGATAACATTTCCATTACAGGCCCACTGTACCTATCTTGTGAGTTTCTTTGAAGCCATATTTTATATAGATATATCTATATTTAAGATTGAAAGCTTAATGCTGTTTAGAAGGCTATTAACAACCATTAATCTAAAAGCTAGACGTTTGTGAATAGGCTTTTTAAGAGCAGCATATCTGAAATACTCCACATTTTTCCTTACCTACATTAAGTTACAAATCCAAGTCATACACATACAAGATTCTGAATACATATTTGGAATATTTTCAAAATTACTTTCATATTATACTTCTGTGAGGTTTGCTTATGGCACAATGGGTAAAGAGATGGCCAACCTGGGTCAAGTAAACTGTCCACTTTACTGTTGTTACTTTGACGTGGTGAGTGACAGGTAACTTCATTATGCTACCACTGCACCTTGTACAATATTTAGCAGTGAGCCCCTGAGGGTTAAGTCTTCATCTGTCCCCCAGTCCCACCCCCATCCCCGCAACTACTTGGCCTATAGGAGGCATTCAGGGCTGAATGAGTGACAGAGCCAGGATGCCATGTGGATAATCACTAGGTATTACCACTTGAATACTAATACATTCATTCCATAACTAGGGTCTAGGGTTTTCAACATTATGTTTAAAGCTAGTTATTTAATTTGAATAACTACTGAAAAAGAATATAAGAGTAAATAACCTGCATTAAAAAATGGAAACCTATCTTAAAATTTGGTGTTTTTATAAACTCAATCACTTTTCCATAAAATAAAGTTATTGTCAAGGAAAGAAAATTCAATGTGCTTTCATCTTGCTCCTTTTATTACACACTCAGTGAACCATCCTTAGTATGAAATTAATGGTTATATAAATGTAGGACATAACGTGAGAAAATGTAGGGGGAAAACATCCTCATTTTAATCAGAGACTAGGAATATCAGCTCCAATCAGCCTTAATCAGCAACTTACCTATTTTTTTCCTTACAAACACAAATAAAAGACAAGCTTCATAATTTAGTTCTTAATTGGTGGTTAGGGCTCTACAATGTCCTTAACTTTTTTTAAAGATCATTTTAAAACCAAAGCACTAATTTGACACACAGTAAAAGCATAGTACAAATATTCACATTTCAGATATGGCTCTTGCTACATAGAGCCTAAGAATGAAGACACATTTTTCCCTTTCCAGATAACTTAATAATTTAAAATATAAATAACTGTATTAAGTCCCACTGAATAGAGAATGTGAAAGTTCCTGATATAAAAACCACGTTAGAGTTTGAAGTTTGATAGTCATTTCATTCTATGGTGGGACAGAGACTGGATTTTGTTTGCTTTCCATAATTACTTCACAATCTCCCTCCATTTCAAAATTGAGATTCACAAATGAACTGGATACCAGTGTTTCTGGTTGATCTGTCTGAACAATGGAATCAGCCTGCAGCTTATTCTGTTGGTATTCTCTTTCTGCTTCTTCAGACATCCTGTTTTCTTCTTCTTCTTCTTCTTCCTAAAAAGAGGAAATATCAAGAATAGTTGAAATGTAAGTGTCCAAAAGGAATAGTATTTGCTCTCTTCTGTCAGTTGCTAGTGCTTTTTTTTTCCCTAATCAAAATATCAGTGCTCCTGAAATTTATGTAATGTTATAAACCAATATGACCTCAATTTAAAAAAAAAAACACATTAGTGTCATGTCCAATTCAGTTTGGTCTAATTAAGACAAGACATGCTTCCTTTTCCCCTGTTCCCAAATTGAAATGAAAACTACTGTATGACATTTTAAGGAAAGTGAAGTTATTTTTAAAACATCATACAGCACTGCTTAGCTTAGATGAGACCTGAATTAACTTTGGAATGGGCTACATCTCTTCAGATTAAGTCTAATCTAAATAAAAAATTAGCTAATACTATATCATTTCCATTACAGGGTTTCAGCCTATTCAGTGGAATAGGGTGGTCAATTCACTAGATGGTATAGCATGCTTAGGTTCTCATAAGCACCTAGTATACAAATAAGGCAGAGCCCGCCCTCAAGAAGTTTACAATCTAGGAGGGAAGTTAAGACATGTAAAAACAGTATTAAGACAGAAAGGAATGAGCACTATAGAGATTTAGAAAAAATAAATAACTTCTAGTTTCAGAACTACTAAATTGATGGAGGAGGTAGCATTTGTATTGGTCTCTGCAGTAGGACTAGTCAGTACAGAGTGAGTAACCTGTCAGGAAGATTAATCTAGAGCTTGTTTGAGAGTGAATGAGAAAGAGAGACCATTTAGGAGGCATTATAATAGTCCAGATAAGGTAATGAGGCTCTAAACAAGGCTGATAGTGTTTAAAAAAAAAACAAAAAAAACCACTCATTTGTTCATAAAATATTTTTGAGACCACATAAAGTCAGCTGACTTTTCCAGATTCATCTCCAGCCACTCCCCCATTGTACTCTATGCTCCAGTGACAATAAAGTCCTATTCTTGTCATTTTCCCCAAACACATAATGTATCTTCATGGCATTTACCTGAACTGCCTTCCTCATTTGCTTGAAGGAGAATAATAAAAGATTCTAATCTTTATTTCATGCTCACCAATATACACTAGGTGCTGTTCTTGGCATTTTACATATTAACTCACTTAATCCTTAGAGCACAGACTCTCTGCTGCAATCCTCCTCATTAGAAAGCTGAGGGACTGAGGCTTACAAGGGTTAAGTACCTTGCCCAAGGTTACAGAGTTGGAAGTGGCAGAGCCAGAATTTGAATTCAGACCCTTTGGTTCTTTAGCCCACGCTCTTAAGCATTAAAGCTTTTTTATTCTTTAAGACTAAACTCATTTCACCCCACCCTAAGACGTCACTACATCTGCAGACAGAATCGCCTCACATCTTTGTGCCCAAACCACTGGCACTTACACATTTCTAGTACGTGTAATTTTCTGTGTGTCAAACCCACTCCACTTCTCCTCCATCCTGTCTATGTGTCCTAAGTACAGAGACTAGGTCTTGTTTCCTCATCTTAAAATTGGAATAATCATCCAAAGACAGGCATGTAAAGGTCAAATAAGTTAACATATATAAGGCACCTTACATAGCACCTAGCACAATGAAATCTAGCTCAGTTTTGTACACAGATCCTAGGGAAATGTCAGTATTAAAAAATTCTAAAATGTTTGCTGATTTAATAAAGAAATTAATGACTGTAGAATGAAATACCCAGGATAAGGGAGCTACCCTTTGGGCAGTTAGAGAATACATGTGTTCATTATGTAACCCGTCAAGTCCACAGCAAACTAAACCGCATCAAGAAAATATAAAAAGACGACACACCTCCTTCTTCATCCGGTAATACTCATCAATGGCATACTGGTATTTTGGGGTGCTGATGCCCAAAGCAGAGGCAATCTTCTCTCCAAGAAAGTCACACACTAAAGATACAAAAGTTAAATGGCTTACACAATTCAATAAACATTTCTTGAGCACTTTCTATGTGCAAGGCACTGTAGAAATACAAAAGTTACAGTCCCTGCCCTCAGGGAGATTATGAACATTCAGTACATCTCTTCTTTATATCCACCTTGATTTCCCCAAGAAGCACTAGTGGCTCCTTCTGGGCTCCCAATAACACTCTGTTCATACCTCTTATTGTAACACATCTCCAGGTATTATAATTATCTGTTACATGTCTATTTCTTCAAGAAAAATGTGTACTCTTAGAGGGTTGGGATACCATTGGGCTGGAGGAGAGGAATAGCTTGTACTACAACATTTACTGAGTGCCTGTCACATGCCAGGCACCATGAAAGGTTAGACTCAGGCTGAAGAACTTGCCCAAGCTGACAAAGCAGATCCAAAATCAAACCCAGGTCTGAACGTAAAGCTCATGTTCTTTTCACTACACCAGACTATCCAGCTTATATTGAGTGCTCAGTAAATGTTTGTTGAATGAATTACTATTCAAACTTAGATCCAACAAAAAGCAGAAAGTGATAGAAGCTATGACAGAGTTAAAATTGGAAGCAGAGGAAAGCTTTATGATTTAAAAACTATATTTATAAAGTTAGTATGATTAAGTCATAAGTTGATAATTCATTTCTTTCAAATATGACTTAGTTACATCTCAATTTAAGAAATGAAATATTAATGAAATAAAACATAAATGAATTATAACTACAGGCTTCAGAATAAGCAGTCAAACAGAATAAGAACAATATCAGTAGGGAACCAAATGGCAAAATAGTTGCTAAGAGAAAACGTTCAAGAACATGAAAATCATATGTAAATTAATATAGCCATTTTTCATTCCTTTTTTTTAAAAAACACAATCAGAAGCTGGAGAATGTTTTAAGTAAAGTACAAGTTAGATCAGTATCTTCAAAGCTAGCTAGCTAGCTGCTGAGAAAAGAGTGGTTAACTCTCTATTTTTTCTCCTTCCTTTTTGAAACACCCCCACTCCCACTCCCTTTGGCAAAGCTCCTATTCTTCAAACACATTATAGTAGTTATACAATATTCAAATAGAAAAGTAATACCTGAGAGGGTTGATGTGGCCGCACGAAGCATGTAAAACCATAAGTAGGGGCCCCAGTTAAGTTTTGTCTGCAACAAGAAGTCAGGTTAGCAACATTCATATCTAAACTCATTCTATATATTTAGGCCAGAATGAAGTAGTCAGATACTTGGGGGGCATACAGAATATTCTATAGACAGTACTACAAACATACTACAACCCAATAAAAAAATTTAAAAGCTTTATAGATAGAATTCCACAAAGACATTTTACATTCACTCATATAACTACCCCCACCTTAAGACCATGGAATAACCAAAAAAAGGAGTTGCCACTGAAATGGAGTTGGTAAGTCATAGTCTTGATTATTTATGATTTGAAAATCCAGAGGCTTCCTTTCTCCTGTCTTGCTGCTTTTTTTGTCTTCATTTCATAAGCACATCAGACAGAGTGTGCAGTCAACGGAAAGGGACCTCAACAAACCACACAGTACAACATACTTATGGTATAGTGGGGAAATTAAGGTTCAGAGAAATTAAGCAGGGTAAGTAGAGGCATATCAAATGAGCTCTTAATGGTGGGAAAATAAGTAACCGATAAGTGGCAAGATGAGTTTTTTGTTTCTTTAAGGATTAAAAAGGGATTAGACCATATAACCTAAAACAAGCTCGTGTATATCTGGTAGGCCAGGACCACTGGCAGAATGCAGTCCATACTGCATACCTCCATAGTTAATCCTGGTGCTGTAATTCCACAGAATACTTTTGTGAAGCTTGCCATATAGATGAGTTTGCCTCTGTGGATGAAATCAGTAATACAAACATGCTTCACTGTACCAATATTTTTGTTTTATCAAAAGAAAACATACTACACAGCCTGCCATCAAGCAAATACATTAATAATTGTTTTAATATTGGTTCTGGGAAGGGAGAAAAAGATAAACTTGTCCATAATCTTCTTAGCTAAGATATGGTAATGCTAACAAGGGCATTAAAAAAGCAAATACAAGAATATCTATAAGACTGAAAACTGCAGACACTGGCAACAACTCTTTCTTCTCTGTTGGTGAAATGAAGTATCTTCCTTTCCTGATATCTAAAGCTGACGAGGTTGTCAATTTTACTGTTATTTCCTTTTCTTCTTGGTTGAGAGGGAAAATTCTTTACCTGAGGGTTTCAGTCCTTTTGAGTGGCCACTGTCTGTCTTATCAACTTCTCTTTATTCAAATTAATTTAAAAATAAAGTTGTATATTTTAAATATTAAAAAAAAACACTATCTATAAGACTGGGCAGATGGGCTAAAGTAGAGAGGAGGAGACACAAAACACAGCCTTCCCATGAAAAGCAGGTGTGCCAATTTCTGTGACAGCATCCTGAAAAGACACACAAGGAAGCTCACTCCTTAGTCTCCACTTACGCAAGAATATCCAAGCAAACAAATACATTCAACTAAGAAAATATTGTATATTTCTCTGCCTGATCAGATCTGCTATATCTTCTATATTCAGAACAGGAGGCGTCTCTTATGTGGGGATAAGGGTTACTTTAGGGGCTCTGTTTAAGATGCTCTGACCTCAGTGTTTACCTTATGGTTTTTATAGCAAATGCAACAATGCAGAAATACAGGGAATGGAACCAATTTCTATAACCCAAGAGAAATGACAGGGCCAAGGAACTACTTAGGAAAGGACTGAGCATGCTTTTGGAGGAAAACATCTATTTCTCAATGGACCAATTCTCCTGGGGTTGTCTCTAGAAAGAATAATTGTTAATATCCAGGCTGTGACTACCAAAGAGGCAAACCTGCTCCACGGCTAAGGAACTGGATCAGGACTCCTGAAGAACATCCATCACTACAACACACAACTATACAGAACGAATCTATGGGGCCCTTTGTTTAGACAATGACCTTACTGCATCAAAAGGATAGGCGGCTCAAGAGCCTACATGGGAACCCTGCCACCATCCCAGTAATAGAACTGAGATAAGACCTTGAGTCTTCAAGACTTCCAGTTTATGGTGCAAACTCAAGTTGATTCATTTTTTTCTCCAAAAATTTAAGTATCATTTCTTCCTGAATAATTAAGTATCCATCTCGTCCTTAATAGCGAACTATTAAGACTTGCTATCTTTTACCTTCGTTTTCAAACAACTTATTTTTAGATTATAAAAGTAATGCTTATTTATTGTAGAACACTTAAAAAATGGAGCAAAGTATAAAGAAAATTTAAGTCATTCATTTTTCCACCACTCATACTTATTAACATCTTAGTTTATTTTCCTAAGTATGTACGTGTTTCAGAACATTGTTGTACTTTCTCTATCCTTTTGTTTCTGCCATTTACTATATTGAAATATTAAGCATATTTCCCAAATGCTTAAATTTCTGAAGGTGGAATAACTAGGCCCAAAATATAATCATTTGGAAAGCTCTTCCTTCACACTGCAAAACTTCACACCAAAATTTACCTAAATATTCAGCAGCAATGTATAGAACTGTCCATTTTTTTTGTACCCTCACCACAGTATACTATCCTTTTCTGTTTTTAAAATTTGACAGGTGAAAAATGAGTCCAGATAATTTTGAGTTCTGACTATATTACAAAAGGCATCAGTCCATTTATATAGGTAACAATTGTGCAAAATCAAAATTTTAAAATATATATGCTTATATACACACATATACACATATTTGAGGAACCTTAATTGACTAAATCAACGGTTAAAGGAATTACAGGAAACACGTTTACTCTTAAGGCACATCTAAGCTAAAATCTAAGGGAAATAATTACCATAAGATTGTAAAAAGATCTAGGTCTCCACTTCTTATTTTCTCTCAAGTATCATATGCCTGGAGTATTATTCTTAAACCTTTATTTTAAATATCAGGGTTTTTTTTTGAATTGGGTCTGTTTTACAAATCTACTATGTAAATATAGGACAATCTTTTCAAAATTCCTTTGTCCTATCAGATTTATGATGCATTAGAAGCAAACAGAAAATGGAAAGTGATCTTCACATTGAAGCCAGGTCTGTCTACAGTTATTAACACCTGTTAATTATTAAAAAAAAAAAACAAAACCCCACAAAGATAGCAAGTTGGCAAGGATGTAGAGAAATTGGAACCCTTGTACACTGTTGGTAGGAATGTAAAATAGAGCAGCCGTTATAGAAAACAGTATGGAGATTCCTCAAAAAATTAAAACCATGGGGCCGGCCCCGTGGCTTAGCGGTTAAGTGCGCGCCCTCCACTACTGGTGGCCCGGGTCCGGATCCCGGGCGCGCACCGATGCACCGCTTCTCCAGCCATGCTGAGGCCACGTCCCACATACAGCAACTAGAAGGATGTGCAACTATGACATACAACTATCTACTGGGGCTTTGGGGGAAAAAAAGGAGGAGGATTGGCAATAGATGTTAGCTCAGATCCGGTCTTCCTCAGCAAAAAGAGGAGGATTAGCACAGATGTTACCTCAGGGCTGATCTTCCTCACAAAACAAACAAACAAAAAAAAATTAAAACTAAAAATATCATATGATCCAGCAATCCTACTTCTGGCCACTTATTGAAAAGAACTGAAATCAGTATCTCAAAGAGGTATTTCTACTCCCATGTTCACTGCAGCATTATTCAAAATAGACAAGATGTGGAAATGTCCAGGGACAAATGAATGGATAAAGAAAATGTAGTATATACATACAATGGAATATTATTCAGCCTTTTTAAAAAAAAGGGAATCCTGCCATATGCAACAAGATGGATGACCCTTGAAGACATTATGCTAAGTGAAATAAGCCAGTCATAGAAAGATAAATACTGCAGAATTTCACTTATATGAAGTATCTAAAATAATGCAAGACATAGAAGAGAGTAGAATGGTGGTTGCCAGGGGCTAGGAGGAGGGGGGAAATGAGGAGTTGTTATTCAACGGGTATAAAGTTTCAGTTATGCAAGATGATTAAATTCTAGAGATCTGCTGTACCACACTGTGCCTATAGTTAACAATACTGTATTGTACACTTAAAAATTTGTTAAGAGGGTAGCTCTTATGTTGTGTTATCACAATTTTTTAAAAAAAGATGGACGTTGTGAGAGAAGTTTAAGAGAGGAAAAGAGATTTTATAGGTAGATTTCTTGAAATCCAACATGTAATTAAATTCTGCCTGTTGAAGATTTAAAAAAAAGTTAAATATGACATTTAAGATGTGCTTATTTTGCCAGAAAAAAATTGAAAAAGCTATGCAGGGGGAAGTCTTCGTTGGCTATAAACTTTAAAAATCTTTTTTTGAAATGGAAATCACAAAGGAAGTTAATTCTGGCCAAAAAAAAAAAGATTCAGTGGACAAATCCTTTAAGTGGCTGAATTAAACTATAATGCTTTTAACCTATTAACGTTTAAAATTTCCCTCCAGGGCCAGCCCTGTTGCTTAGCGGTTAAGTGCGCGCGCTCCGCTGCTGGGGGCCCGGGGTTCGTATCCCGGGTGCGCACCGACACACCGCTTCTCCGGCCGTGCTGAGGCCGCGTCCCACATACAGCAACTAGAAGGATGTGCAGCTATGACATACAACTATCTACTGGGGCTTTGGGG